TATATATATATATATATATATATATATATATATAACATAGTGTACATGCACTTTTTAAATTTTCTAATCAGATACAAAAATAATTATTTTTCTCACAAATCTTGAGTTATTTTATATAGCAGAAGATATTCAATAATTTAATTCTGTAAATGAATGTTTGAAAAAAGTTGCCAGAAAAAATTTTGCTGTTATTTAGTACAAGGGTATTTTTTTTGTTGTTACCTCGAAGAAAGTGGACAATTTCCATGTGCCAATACTCTTCTGCCGCATCAATTGCTGTTTTCTAAGAACAAAAAAATGTCGGTTATTGCAATAAAGCAGTCGAAAGAGAAGCAAATAAATTTAGTTATTTGCTTTTCTGCGGATTATTCGTATAAAACAGACCAGTTCCTCTTTTGAAAACTTTTCACCATTTACATAGAGTGTTTAAAATTGAATGACGACTTTCTTAAAAGTTCAGAAAAGCAGCATCTTTTTTCACCTTTAAACTAGAAGAAATTTTATCCGGTTGAGGAAAGAAAGACTGCTTATTTGCTAATACGTAATTAATATAATTTAAAAGTTATCTGTTAATTTTCACCTTGCTTTTTCAACATCAACATTAACTGAACTAAATCAGATTGGAACTTAAGCTTGTCTTTCAAAACAGTTTGCAAAAAAAGTGTAACGATTCTGATACGGTGGAAAGATTGACTTCAAATCATTGAAGTAAAAAAGAAACACCATTTTTTGGCTTTCTACTGCACTAATTCACCTTCCATTTGTTTGTTGCGCCAATATTTGCTCCTTTCTGTACTAAGCGTTCAATAATTTCACGGTCTCCTCTCAGGCATGCAATATATAACGGTGTTATCTAAACTATGCAAGACAAGTTTAGAACATATCTACGTGCGTTTGACTGTTGTGCTTCTCAGAGATATGCTATTCTGTAGAAAAAGTAATATAATTTAGTTGAAGATAAAAGTTACAGATTCTTCTTCTAAATCATCAAATATACTGGTCGAGAACAAGGCGTCTGTTTGCACAGCGACGTTTATCGTTAGCACTATTGAAAAAAACTAATCAAAGAAAGGTGACAACTTTTATAAAAAGTATGTATTCAAAGAGTGTATTTGTTTGGCATATTGCAAAATTTTCAACTCAACTCTCTTTCAAAAAGAAAATTTTTTTTGTGGAATCTTCTTGATATACAAAACCTGGTCTTACCCCGTCTTTATCTTCCCTGTTAACGTCAACTCCCTGTTCCAGCAGAAAATTTACAATTTCTCGATTATTGTACCAGATTGCAATAAGCAATGGTGTTTGCTAAAGACAGAACCAAAGGTAGAATAAATACAATTTTAAGATAAGATTAAATTTATAATTTTATCTTTTTTAACTTTCTTAGTTGTAGTAAAATTTTTTTAAACCAAAACATAAAATAATCAGTATTGTTCTTGTGTTAAATAAGATTCAAATTTTATAAGATCAGTTATTTTGCATAAATTTTCCTATATTAATACATGGTCATTTCTAACAGCTGTTGAAGGAGTAATTGGCGACAGTTGTCTTTCTCTATTACAGACTTGGTTTTTTTTTCTGCTGATTAAAACATAATAATTGATATTGGCATTGGTTGAAGTTTTACAGACATTATATGTCTTTTAGAAGTTTCATCTTTTACGTCATTATCGCTGTGAAAAGCAGAATTTTTAAACAACAACAAAAAAAAAAAACGTCCGAGTTTTGTTTCTTAAATCGATTCTTATGAAATAAAAAGCAAAAACAATGAACAGGTCTTAAAAGATAACAGAAAAAATTTCAAAACGATACTTTTAATTTAAGATAATAAAAGAGTAATCTTAAAAGTAACGAAAAGGTTTTTTAATATTGGTAATACCCAAAGTTTTCCACTTTTTTCATTAACCACGGCTCCACAGTCTATCAAACATTTTACAATCTCAATGTTTCCAACTTCAGATGCAATTGCTAGCGGTGTCTGCTAAAACAAGAGAAAAAACCTTCAAATTGTTCTGCATTCTAAATTCTTTTTTGTTATACAACATTATTGCATATATTGACAAAAGTTTTTGATTTTTGATGTAAAATTGTATATTTTAGAAAAACTGTCATTTTTTAGCAACCTCTTACATAATAATTCTGATTGATTTTAGGAAATGTAACGTTTACTGACGTTCCTATTTGTTAAAATCTTAGTGCCTTGATAGTCATTTGACATTTATAAAAATATTAGTAAAATAAAAATTAGATTTTTGCGCTTAATATTAAAATTATTTGTTTGAGACATTAAAAGACACTAAAGAAGCTTTTTTTCTCATTTTTTAGTTCAACCAATACAACAGGTTTATTACTGATAATTTTGACGTGTAAAACCTAAAATAGTCAGGAAGAACTTTTAGTTCAGTTTCACTGCTTCTTGTTCAGTTGTTAATAGTTTATTTATTAGCAATAAAGATATCGTTTGTTTGTCAATATTTTACCCAAATTTATGTTAAATAAATACTGAGAAAGTTTTAAGATTATAGAAACAACATAAATTATTTGTTGACAAAAAAACAAAATTATTTTATAAAGAACTGAAAAAAAATTATTACATTTACAAAATGAGAGACAACTGAAACAAAAACTTATATTTAAACTGTTACCTGTAATTTATTTTCAGTATTCACATCAGCTCCATTATCTATGCAATCCACCACACTAGGGAAGTTGTTGTTGGCACACGCATTTATCAGTTGAGTATTCTGTAACAACAGAAAACTAATGTGTTTGACGAAAATTTGAAAAGAAAAATATTTTGCTAAATTTTGCCATTCTTTAGATTCTCTT